GCGGCGCCCCTCCCCTGCCGCTGCGCCCCTCCCCTGCCGCGGCGCCCCACACCGAAGGCCAAGCAAGTCCTCTGGCGCCAGCCTGTCTCCTGCCCCCACGGCAGCGCCCCCGCCCCGGGCTCCATGCCTCTGGCCCGTGATGGAAGATTTCTCACCTCTCTCTCGGCCCCCACCCTTGTCCCCCGCTTCCCAGGGTCCCCCCAGCCCGGCAGGATGGTTTTAAAAACTATCAATTCAGGTGACAGCCTTTGCTAGTCCCAGCCCCTCCCTGGGCTTCTGTAATGGGTCACCGTCGCCCACGCCTCGGGAGTCGTGACAGAGGGGGCCCGTGGGTGTCTGCTGGGAGGGGGGGAAGCGAGCGCCGGCCCACACCCGGCTCAGCTCTGAGGACTTGGGCAGCGCCGGCCCCACGGGCGGCCGTGAGCTTTGATGACCCCCATCAGCGAGGTGAGGGCTGCTGGCCTCTGCCTCCCCGCCAGACAGGGACCCGATGGCCTCCGAGGCCTGCGGAACCGTAACTAGGACTCATCAGGCCCGGCTCCAGTTGCCATGGCAACGAAGTTGCTATGGGGATGCTGCACTTAAAGCAGACAGACGTCATGTCTGGGGTGGGCCAGGCCCCCCTGCATTTGTACCCTGTGCAATCAGGGCTTGTCCCCAGACGAGGGGGGTGGGGAAGGTGGGTGAGGGGGACCGTCGCGCTTGCCCCCACGTCTCTCTGAGCCCAGTCCTCCGGCCTGTGAGCCATCCTGCCTTCAGAAGTTCATTAAAAAAAGAGTCACCCAGAGGCCATTTGAGGTAGTTTTGACCATCGCCGGCCGACCCGGGGGAACGGCTCTGGTAGAAACACGCCAGACACAGAGCAGGGGACCGTCTGTGACCCCGCAGGCGCCCCCGGGCCTCAGCGTCCACCCCCCCCCCCGAAGGGCAGGCATGTGGGGGTGTTGGCAGATTCACTCCCTGGGCCCCTGGGAGGTGGGTGGGGGCCCATCCCTTCCAAACGGAGCCATGTCCACCTTTTCCTGAATCCCGAGGGGACAGGCCACGGACAGACTAGCCCAACTTTAAGCTCTGGCTTCTTTTCCCTGATGATCTTTCCATAGGCCTCCGGCACCTGCTGCAGCCGCCCTTTCTAAGCAAACAGTCGAGGCGGCTTTCATCCTCGGTCCCTGCGAGGATGCCCTGCGGGCAGGAGGCTGGGAGCGGCGCCCAGGCCCCGGGGCGCTGGGACTGCGCCCACCGAGGGCGGGCCCGGCTCTGAGCCACGCAACCAGTGGTCATTGCCAGATCGGGCCACCGGCAGGTCCTCGGCGCATTTCTGGCTGGAATTTCATCGTCTCCCAGGCTAATTCCCGGCCAAAAGAGACCGAACGCAGCCGGCCTCCTGGTCTGTTCTGCGCGGGTCACGCAGTTTTCAGGTTCTGACCCTACGGCTTCTGCTCGTCCTCTCTCCCCGTGACTTAGACCTTCCTGCCAGGGTTCTGTCTGGGCGCGTCTAGGAATCTCACATCGTGCGTCTTCCAGAGCCAGAGCATCGCCTGCAGACGTGGGGGATGGGCGCTGTGTCCAAGCACACGCAGGCCGGGTAGGCGACGCTGTCCTGGAAGTCCATACTGATTTGGTATTTACGTTCCATCAGTATCTGCCTCTTATGTCAACAAACGTCATGCATACCTCGGTCATGGACAACTGCGTGGCGCGGGTTCTCACTTCACACTCGCAGCAGGGGCCTGGCAGGGGCGGGCCGGCTGGAGGGGACGTCCCAGGCCCTCCGTCTGGGAGAGCGTCCTCACAGTCCCATTTCTCATTTCTCAGTGTCCTGGGGCCTTCGTGTCCTGTGTGCTTCCGAGGTCCCTTCACTCCTGACATGTGGCCGCTCCATTGTTCACACAGAGGAGGATAGCGTGGCCGGTGCCTCAGACGGGTGAACAGTAAGACCTGTGAAATAAAATGGTTGTGGCATTTGGATGGACTGAAAAAAAGAGTTTGGCTCTGGCTGGGTGGCTCAGTGGATGGAGCGCCGGCCTGCGAACCAAAGGGTCGCCAGTTCCATTCCCAGGCAGGGCACCGGCCTGGGTTGCAGGCACCGGCCTGGGTTGCAGGCCAGGTCCCCAGTAGGGGGCGTGCGAGAGGCAACCACAGATCGCTGTTTCTCTCCCTTTTTTCTCCCTCCCTTCCCCTCTCTAAAAAGAAATAAATTTTTAAAATCTAAAAAAATATTAAAAAAATAAGAATAAAATAAAATTAAAAAAGAGTTTGGCCCTGGCTGGTGGCTCTGTCGGTTGGAGCATCATCCTGTGCACCAAAAGTTTGCAGGTTCAATCCCCAGTCAGGGTGCAGGCCTAGGCTGCAGGTTCAGTGTCCAATTGGGGTGCATACAAGAGGCGACCAAGCAAAGTTTCTCACATGCTTCTCTCTCTCTCTCCCTCCTCCCCTCCCCCCTTAGAATCAATAAATATGTCAAGTGAGAATTTAAAAAAAATTTTTAAAAGTTCGCACTGCCTTGAGCCAGCACAGCTTGGAAGCAAATTTCTGGGGAAGCGACAAGAACAATGGGGTGGCTCTTACATGGGACCAAGGGGCTGAGGGTTCGGGTTCCCATGGGGGGCCTGCTGGAGGAGCGGGGAGGTCCCTGCGACGCCTCCCAGTGTGAGGAAGCTTCAAGCAGGGGGGGACGTGGGGGCCAGGGCGGCGGTGGGGGGAACAGGAGAGCCGAAAGGCCGGCCAGTCCAAACCCTCGCCACCGACACTGCGGACAGAGAGGGGCTGGGAGCAGGCCCCGCCTCCCGCAGGGCGGCAGTGTCTCAGCGCCGCACGGGCGCGCTCTGCGAACGCTCGCGAACGCGAGACCTGGGCAGCCTTTTCAGCAGCTGGTGGTTTATGTTCCGAGTCCACCGAGGTGGGCTACGGGCGCCCCGACGTCCGGTCTGACTTTACAGGGGCGTGTCTGGGAGGGCGATTCCGGGCGAGACGGGCATTTGAGCCTGCAGACCGAGCCTGAGCCAGCGCCCCACTGCCCGCCAGCAGGTGCGTGGGCCTCCTCAGATCCCTGAGGTCCGAGTGGAACCACCAACGCAGGTGACACAAAGCCGCCTGGGCCTGTCTGTGGGCTGGGACACGTCGTCTCCTGCACTGGACTGGGCCTTCCCACCCCGCCCCGCCGCTCTCCCGGGGCTTCAGTTTGCAGATGGCAGGCTGACTGCGGGACTCGGTGGGCCCGTTCCTCGCAAGGCACAGCAGTATCTGTTTGTCCCGCTCGTCCCGGGTCTCCGCAGAGCCGGCCGGATGCTCAGAGAATGCACGGGCCCCAGGCGAGCCGGTCTGAGCTCCCTGGTCTAAGCTCTCAGCCACCACGGCCGGTCGCTGGCTCTGCCAGAGATGCGACAGCGACATCTTCTGGCCACCGAAGGACGGATCCACGGGAGCCTCGGGTTCTCAGCTGGCTGGAGGGGGTGCAGGGGTCTAACGTCACCAGGCCACCCTCACAGTGCTGGGTTTTCAGCTGCGATCACCGTGTGTGAATGTGTGTGTGTGTGCTGGGGTGTGTGTGTGTGTGTGTGTACACGAAGACCAGCCCCGCACCGGCCCCGCGTGCACCATGGAGTCAGGCGGCAGCACAGGCCCGAGTGTGCAGTGAGGCCGACCTCGACCAAATCCCTGTTCACCTTCTGTTCATCCTGACAGTAAAGAGATTCACCAACCTGTGCATGTAGCTGTTTGCCATAAAGTTCTTGTTAAACATACAGGGGTCTGGCACAGATAATGCCCCTTTTTTTTTTTAATTACAAAATCTTTTAGCCCTTGCTGGTGTGGCTCAGTGGATTGAGCACCAGCCTGCAAACCAAAGGGCCGCTGGTTCGATTCCCAGTCAGGGCACCTGCCTGGGCTGTGGGCCAGGTCCCCAGTAGGGGGCGCACGAGAGGCAACCACACATGGCTGTTACCCTCTCTTTCTCCTCCCTTCTCTCTAAAAATAAATAAATAAAATCTTTTATTACAAAACCATACGCATGTCATTCTGCAACATAACACTATCACACTCAAGCACACCATGTGACATTTTAGGTGATATGTTCAAACTAAAACTGTACATAATTACACCGGTATTATTACCCTACCAACCACACTCAGGCTTTCCTTCTGCTGGACCCTGTGTAAGTGGTTGATTATTTTTATTTTTTTAAATATCGTCTTAATTTATTGATTTTAGAGAGAGAGGAAGGGAGAAAGAGAGACATCTGTTTGTTGTTCCACTTATCTATGCGTCATTGGTTGATTCTTGTATGTGCCCTGACCGGGGACCAAACCCACAGCTTTGGCACATCAGGACGAAGCTCTCACCAACGGAGCTGACTGGCCAGAGGGACTGTTGTTTTTTGGGTGTTTTTTTTTTTAAGATTATTTATTTATTTATTTTTAGAAGGGAAGGAAAGGAGAAGGAAACACCAATGTGTGGTGGCCTCTCATGCGCCCCCTACTGGGGACGTGGCCCCCAACCCAGGCGTGTGCCTTGATGGGGAATCGAACCGGTGACCCTTTGCTTCACAGGCTGACGCTCAGTCCACTGAGTGGCACCAGCCACGGCAGATTGTTGCTATTTTTAAATGACTCACTAAATACCTTTCAATGCTTTTGGTTTTCTTTTCTAATGGGGTAAATCTCTCATTGGTAATTTCTCATCTGGTAACTACAACTCAGACAAGCGCACTGTGGGTCCCCAGCGACCGCTCCGAGTGTGGGGAGTTCCTGAGACCAAGGAGGTGAGACCCGAGTGCAGGATCCTAGCCCTGCGGCCCCTCCAGCAAACCGGCGCCCTGTGCTCCTGCCCCCGGCCTCCCTGGGGAGGGAGAAGGCAGCGAACGCCGCGCCTTCTGTGTTCCGGACTCTGTCTAAGTCATCTGCACGCACAAGCTCGCGGGGTCCCCGTCTAAAACGTGAGGTGAGCACAGCAACCACCACCGTTTCTGGAGGAGGCACAGAGAGGCTGAGACACTTGCCTGTGGTCACACAGCTGGGAAAGAGCGGAGCCAGCATCCATTCTGGGCTGCCTGGCTCTGGAGTCCCTCTGGGCTGTGCAGTCTCACGAGACACGCCACTGAAATCAAAGCCTGGGGCAGCTGACGTGAGTTAGAAACGGATTTAGCTGGGAGGGCAGAAGAACATGCTCTAGTCTGACCGCCCAGGGCCTGAGGGGAAGGATGACGAATCGTTTCAGCTTGGGGGATGGAAGAGTAATCCTGGAAGCCTTCCTGTAGGCAGTGAGTCTCAAGTCAGGTTTTGCAGGATGTGGCTTGGTGGCCAGGAGAACATTCCAAAGTGAGGGGGAGGCCCTGGGCTGTCGTCAAGATCAGAAGTTTGGTTTTAAGAGGAAACATTGAGAGAAAGGGGAGGGACAGGGACAGAGAGACAGGGAGACGGGAGAGGCAGGCGAGGAGAACGGGGCCCTTCCACCGTGAGGAACGGAGCTCTTAGGAAAGCAACTTGAACCTTTTCCAGGAAGTTTCTTCCTGTTTTCTTTCTGCTGGTGTCACGTGTTCGCCCCGCACCCGCATCAAGATCGGTTTATTCAATTAGAGGGACGATTTCAGGCTGCCACCAGGAGCAGGGCGCTCTCAGCCCGGACCCCCCCCAACTCTGGTCAGGGACCCGCTCACCCCCTCCCCCAGGCTATTTTTACCCGCCGGCCCGATGTCGGTGTGATTAGTGAAGGTAATTAAGCAGGCGGGTGGCGGCTCAGGGCTGCGCAGGCGTTCCTAACAACCCTGGAAGGGTTGGCAGAAAGAAGCCTAGAAGACGTCCATGAATAAACATCACCTGAAAAATGTTAAGAAGCCCTCGTTCCACCTCTGGAGAAGGTTCCAGAAATCAGAGCAGCGTGTCTCTGGGCGGGGCGATCGGCTGGCTGGGGGCTTTCCAGGCCGTCTGGGCGCTCACGCTCCCCCTAGAAAACACGTCCGTTTTCCTTTCCTTTCTTTTCTTTTCTTTTCTTTTTTAAAGATTTTATTTCTTTATTTTGAGACAGAGGGGGAGGGAGAAAGAGGAAGAGAAACATCCTTATGTGATTGCCTCTCGCGCGCCCCCTACTGGGAGACCTGGCCCGCAGCCCAGGCAGGTGCCCTGCCTGGGAATCAACCGGTGACCCTTCGAGCGAGCAAGTGCGCAGCCTACGGAGCCGCACCAGCGGGGCCAGAAACGCCTCCTTACCGTTCAGCGCGCCCCTCCTTCTGTCCAAACCACTGCGACACGCCGACTTGGCGCTTCTCTGGAGCAGTACACCCAAGACACACCCCGCATCTGGTTGTGGCTTTTCTTACATAAGAAAGGGTTATGCATTTCCTTTTTTCCGTTCAGAGTTCCCCACGCAGAAAGACGGGTCGTCTGTTTAAGCCGCAGCAGGAAGCCGACTAATGGAATCTCCCGGAACCTCCGCGGCAGAGGGAGGGGCCTACACAGTTCTAGAGCGAGTCCCACCATCCCCCAGCAGCTGCCCCCTGAGGGGCAGAGAAGGGCCAGGCCTGGCCGCAGGGGCGGGGCTGGGGAGCGACCCCGACGCAGAGCACGCGGCCGCCGGGCGCCCCGCGAGTGCCACGGCCGTCGGGCAAAGGAGGCGCGGCTTCTGAAGCGGGCTGCGTTCTCACTCAGGACTCCGTCGGTGGCGAGTGAGACCCAAAGGCCCCTCCGCCGGCCGCTGAGCAGGTGTCGGGAGCTGCGTCCTGCTGACCAGCTGACCCGGCCCCATGCGGACACCGGCACGGCCCCGATCCCCGGGAGGGGGCAGGTTTCGGCTGACAGCCAGTCCTGGGAAGCGGCCCTGTGGCATGCGGCAGCCCACCCGAGGGAGCGGGTCTGCAGAACGCCGAGGAAGTCAAACAAAGATGCCCGTGGGCGCGGAGATCCAGAGAGACGGGCAGGCAGAGAAGGGGGCGCAAAAAAGAGAGTCAGGGCCAGAGAGTCGGAAGGAGAGACAAAGAGATACAGACAGAGAGGAAAGGTCAGAGAGCGGGCTCGGGGGCGAGCAGGGGCGGTGGGCCAGGAGGGTGCGCTGTGAGCTCCGGGCTGCCCTGACCCAGGCCCCGCCCAGCCCCCGGAGGCCCCACCCACCCCAGGTCCTGTCTCCTTAAGGGGGGGTGGGGGGGAGTGTCGCTCCTGCCAACCAAAGGCACCTGCAGGCACCCAGAGTTAGAATCGCAGAACGGTCCGCCTGGGGGAGGGGAGGGACAGGTGGCTGGAGTGGGAGGCGCCTCGCGGTCCCCTGCGCCCTGGAAGCTCAGGACAAGCCTGGGCTCTCCAAAGCGGGATTGGGGGTTCTCCTGGATTCGAGGTCGATGGCTGTAAAACAGGCTCTCGCACGCCTCCCCCTGCAGGAGCCTAGCACAGGCCCCACGCTGGGCTCTAGAACAATCCGCCGTGTCGTGCGGCTCACAGCCGCTGGGGGCTGCGAGGGGCGTCGGCGGCACAAACTTCAGGTCACAAGACAGAAAAGTCCTGGGCGCGCCTGTCCAGCGTGACCGCAGTCACGGCGCGCCGCGCGCGCCCGGAAGTGGCCGAGAGAGCCCATCTTACCGGCTCCCGCCCCCGGAAAACCTGTGGCTCCGCGGGGGACGGTGTTCAGGAGATTTACTGCTGTGGTCATTTCACAGAGAGACAAAGGGCACATCATCGACCGGAACACCTACAGCGAATACCGTGTTATATGTTGGTCAGATCTCAGTTTAAAAATGAAATGAATGATAATAGTAAAAGCACAGCGACTGTCTGCCCCCCACCCTGGTAGGAAAGCGACTGCTTTTCCCCCGGGGGGCGAAGCTGGGCTGAACCACCAGGAGGCAGCCCTGACCTTCCGACCCAGCGAGCCGCCTAAGATATTGGCCACCTGGCCCTTCACAGGTTTTCCGCCCCTGCCCCAAGCCATGGGCCACAGGGTCATGTCCCCACGTTCAGACCCCAACGGAACCTGCCTGGATTTGGACGGGGGCGCGCCATCCACCCAAACGCTCTCAGAGTGACGCCGGCCACCCCCACGCTGGCCTGGACCCCTGGAGGACTACTGCGCGGGGTCAGCATCATTGACCTTCGCAAGGGCAGCGGCATTCTGCTGCTTCAGGCGTTCTGCGATCACACCCCCTGAACGTCCGTCTAAAACACGTTCTCCTGGCAAATCGGGTGCTCGTCAGCGGCTCAGGTCATCGTGTCTGTGCCTAGGCCGGGAAGGGCGAGCAGTTTTACCTGAGACCCAACAGAAAGGGCAGGGTGAGGTCAGCCGTGGCCTCTTCACATGACAACAGGCCCTTACGACTCAGGTTGAGGACGGGTTTTTGTGGACATGGGTGACATCCGTGAATCCTAAGTAAAGCAGATTAGAAGAAAGGGCGTCTAGAGACAAAGAAAACAACGTAGGTTCTGGAAAGACATTTGCGTAAGAGGAGGGACTTCTCCAATGCGGTCCATCCCTTAGGGGACCCATGAATGGCTAACTCCCCCCAAACCCTCACCGTTAAAACTGCAACAGGGGTCTGTCATGGGCAACGGCATGGAAGACCACACACGTGTTTGTTCTTTTTTTAATCCTCACTCGACATGTTTATTGATTTTAGAGAGAGAGGAAGGGGGAGAGAGAGACATCGATGTGAGAGGCAAATATTGATCGGTGGCCTCCCGTACACGCCCTGACCGGGCATCGAACCCGCACCCTTTGGGTGCAGGGGACAACGCTCCAACCAGCTGAGCCACCCAGCCAGGGCCACCGTTGTCTCTTGACTTGGTTCCATGTTAACCTCAGTCCCAGGTTCAGGGACCTGGGAGGTGGCACCCTCATCCCAAGCTGATGTTGTGCCCGGAGAAGCGGCAGGGGTGGTACGTGCAGACACATGCCACCCCAACGCGGGGGCTTCCTCTGCTCCGTTCTGTGGCGCATCAGTCTCACCAACTGGCTGTGGCTCTGTCCCTACGCTGGTGGTTCTTACACGCCACCCGTTCACGCAAATCACACGGGAAGATGGCAAAATAGCGGCTTCCGCGGCCCCACCCACGGAGGAGACCCTGAATGTGCAGGGCTGGGGCGGGAAGGGGGCTCTGGGTGACCGAGCACCAGGGGATTCAGGCTCCCGCGGCCTCGCCAGCGGATTGGACAGTAGCCCCGTCGCTGGGGGTCGCGCTGGAGCAAGGAGCGGAATGCTTGGCTGGAGCCTCGCTGTGAAGGCCACACAGTCCCGTTCCTGGCCGGCCACTATGGCTGCTCCGGCAGAGCCACGCGGTTTCCCTGTCCTGACCAGCAGAAACCCAATCAGCTCACAAAAGGCCACTCCTGGGGGTAGCAGAGCGATGGCCTCCACATCCTGGTGCCAGAAACGGAGACCCGGGGTTCACAGGCAAAGGCAACCAACAACATAGCGTGAACCAAGGGTGCCAAGTGGAGAGCCTTGCGCGGGCGGAACCCCAGGCGGCCTGAAGGGTGGAGGACAGAGGCACGCGGCCTAGAAACACGCGAGGACAGAAAGGGGCCAGGAGAGGCTGCCGCCAGCTTTGAAGATGGAAGGGGCCGCAAGCCAAGGAAAGCGGGGGCCTCCGGACGCTGGACAGGGCCGGGAAACGACTCTCCCCTGGAGCCTCCAGAGCAGCCCACCCTGCCGACCCCTCGCTGTTGGCCCAGCGCGGCCACGTGTCTGTTCCTCACAAGTTTGACAGTAACTCGGGCCAACAGCTCCGTGACTACTGCAGAAGCAGAGAGGTGCGCCGCCCTTGCCTGTCTCTCCCAGAGCCGACCGGCGGAATTCTGGGGGCGGCTCCACTGAGTCTGTAAACATTTCTGTCTCGCCTGAAGTGCACTCGTGACAATGCCTTCTTCCTCTTCAAAGTGGCCGCCCTCCCAGCTGACAGGTGAGTCAACAGCCCTGAGGGATCCAGGGACCCTGGGGCCTTTTGTAAAGTGACATTCTAGTTCCGAAATCGAAGGAAAGTCATCTGTAAAGGACTGGAGTGCCCTGTGTCTGCGGATAATTTAGATATTTGCCTGGCAATTCTTAGGTGAGCAGAAGGGATAAAGTCAACATCAGTCCAGGCCAACGGGCGTCAGAATGAGCACAAAATCTGGCCCAGGTCCAGTGCAAAGAAACCGCCCTTGTTTAACCAGCCCCAGACGCCGGACCCAGAGGCCTCTCCAGAGGTCCCGGGCAGAAGGGCTTTGCTGCCGCCCCGCACAAGTTATTCCCGACTAAGTTTCTACCCTGTCATGCCAACACACTGCTGACAACTCAGCAAGGGGAGGAGAGGGGCCTTATTCCAAGAGGTTCTGACTTTCCACGAGACAACCCGTGTTTGTCAGTTTCCGCTGCCGACTCCGTCTAGGGAATGCTGTGGCCGCCTCCGTTCCTCAATAACATGGATGCTCCGTCCATGACCAAGAAAATGGGGGCTGTTGGCAAGGGGTCCTCTAGCCAGGGCCGGTTTGTGGCTAGGTTGGGGAGCCCCCAACCCAGCGCCGACCAAGGGTCCTGCTGAACTCCCGAGAGGGGGCCTGTGAGTCAGGAGAGGCTCCCAGAGGGCGGGGTAGTGGCGCATCTCCAATTACCTGGATAATTAGAGGGGAGGTCCCACCCAGTAATGAGGCCAGCAAGGGCAGGTGTGGGGCAGACTAGTTTCTCAGCCTCGGTGACCTCTCCGCGTCACTGAGCCCGGAGCCAAGGCCCCTCTCTGCGCCAGCTGCTCGACCTCTTACTCATCAGAGAGTGTGCACGGAACCACATGCCAGCACCTCCGCACACCCGCCGGCGCACCTAAGCGACTTCCTTGTCTCACTCGGATCGCTGCAGAAACAGTTAAATATCCTCATACGCCCCGAAATGATCACCACGCAGTGCCCGCCCTGCCGGACGGCCTTTCACAGAGCAGAGAACTTTTCAAGTCGATGTCTCATCTGACCTTTGCAGTGACCTACGAGGCCACTGCCCCGGGGGCTTCTTTCGCTTCACCCGAGGACACCGGTCGCAACTCCCAGGAGCTCAAACCTAGGACTTTCCAGCAACAGAGCCATAAGGAGGCTCTAGAAAACAACACAGGGGACGCGCGTTCTGGCCCCTAACTCCAGACATCCCTGCTCATCCTAGAAAGAGATAGGATCTATAGCTATGCTCTCAGACTTGGCCAGTCATTGGTCACATCAGGACTCTTTGGAGAGCATCAGTGTCTAAGCTGGAACTGCAGCTTATGAGGGCCCGACAAGACCCAGCGGGGGCAGACCGCTGGGGGGGGCGGGGACAGCCGTCGAGCCTCCCCAGAGAGAGGAACCCTCCCCAGCGCTGGCAGGGCCGCCGGGATCCCGGCTGGTGTCCATCACACGCTTCGTGGGAGGGTTCACAGCCGGCCGCGGGGGAGAGCGCAAAGGCCGACGTCAGAGTGCCGCCCCCCGGCCCGAGCCCGGGAGCCGTTTCCAGTTCCTGGTTGGCTCGGACGGGCTCGTTCCTTTAAGGGTCAAGGTCCCTGCTGCCCTCTTTATCATCACCCCGTTTTCAAAAAGTGTTAAAGGCAACAGCACATGTCAGTCACCTGCTATCATGCTAACCTTCCAATAGTCCATTCCTCCAGGCCGTCTCTTTGGCAACTGCCTCTAGTATCCATTCAGCCTTGGCTTCCTCCAGAAGAAAGGCCTGGTTTCGAGCTCTCTCGGTGGCCCCCTGGAACAAAGACTCTTCTCTCGGCCTCTCATGCGTGCAGTGACTTGTGGCTCTGTCCAAGTTCAGGGCAATGAGATGAAAGTAGAATTGGCTTGCGAAACTTCCAGGAAGCTTTTAAAGTCAAAGCCTTCCTTGCCCTTTCTTCTAGCTGGAATGTAAACCTAATGGCTGGTGCTCTGGCAGCTATATTAGACCAGGAAGGAACCTTGCGAAAGGAAGCCAAGCATGACAGGAGCGGCAGCTTATAGAGAGAGGGGAGGCGGTAGGAGCCAGAGGCGGGGGCAGAGAGGAAGGGCAGTTAGCATTTAATGGGGACAGATATTGTGGTGCTGATGGTCACACAACAGTGCGAATGTACTTAATGCCACTCAACTGTGCACTTAAAAGCAGTTCCGTTGCTAACTTCCATATTATATGTATTTGACCACAATTAAAAAAAAAAAAACAACCCACCGCCCATCCAGACTTGTTTCTGGCTGCGTTTCTGACCCCACTGGATGGCACCATGAGCCCCGACTTGCCCAGGCCAGGCATCAGGTATCCCGGTCTCACCTGCTCACGCCTCCGTATCCGGCTGGCCACCGGGGCCCCACGTCGCGTCCAGCCCCCCGGAGCTGCCACGTATCTGCTCCGTCCTCGGCACAGCGCCCGCTCCTCCTCCCCCAGACCCCAGAGGAGCCCCTCTGCCGGCCGCGGCCCCGCCCACTGTCTGCAGTCCCTGAGCCGCACCGCGGCCTGTGCGGACCCCCGACGATCCCCGCGCAATCTGCGCAGCCCCGCCTGCGCACCTCGTGCGCTCCTCAAACGTAAAAGCACGATCTCGATCGTGCGTGTTAAGAAAGCGCCTTCATTTAGAAGCAAAGGTGGTGGCCTGGACAACCGGAATCCACCCTAAAAGGCCTCTGGGCGGCGCTCTTGGGAAACACTTAGAAGCGATGACGTTAGGGACGGAGGCCCCTGCCTTTACCAGCACGTGTTGGGCACCGCGGACCTGCTGGGGGCAGGGGGGCCAGAGGGGGGGTTCTGACTGGTGGGGTGATGGCGCCCCAGTGGAGGGGAGGCCTCCATCCACCCGCGAGGGTCTCCTGCCTGCCGCCGCACCCTGGGCAACGCTTCCGGGAACCTGGGAGATGTCAGCGACGAAGACGATGTCCCGGCCCAGGAAGAATTTGTGCTCGTGGAGGAAGTCACACAATTAAAATACAGCTGGTGAGCCCGTGGCCCGGTCGCTCAGTAGGTTAGAGCGTCGTCTCCATGCACCAAAGTTGCCGGTTCGCTCCCCGGTCAGGGCACAAACAAGAGGTCACCGATGAAGGCACAGATAAGTGGAACAGCAAATTGATGTGTCTCTCTCCCCCGTCCCGCTTCCTCTCTCTCGCTCTCTAAAAATTAATAAATAAAAACACTACCAGAAAATAAAAGGCGGCTGGTGAAATCCTACCAGGCACTTGCAGGAGGGAATGCGTGCTGGTCCATAGAAACGACCCAGGCAAGCGAGCCGTGCACGGGGCGGCCGAGGAGGCCACTGGAAGGGAAGGTCGCTGAGCCCGAGAGGAGTCGGGGGAGGGGACCGCGGCAGAGCCGTGTGTCCCAGTTGGTTGCTGAAGCCCGAGGAAGGCACTCTCTGCCCCCACACGGCCGAGGCGCTGCTCGCTGGGCCCACAGCCCGGCTCCCCAGGGCGCCCAGGCCTCCCCACTCCCTGCGGGCTGCTGGCTCCCTGCCGCCCACTGTCAGCAAGTATTCTTCTTGTGACCATCAGGTGAGGAACTGGGTGCCTCCCTCACCCCAGAAAGGGAGGCAGGAGCCCGGAGACCGCCCCAGCAGTGACACACAGGGGTCGGCCCGTCGTGACAGCCGCAGCAGCTCAACTGACACACGTGGGTCCCCATTAACCACCCCACGGGAGCCAACGTGCAGTCGGGTCCGCCTGTGTGACTGACCCACGGGGCCGGGAAGGGACGAGGAGGCCCGCGGAGGCGCAGACGACAGGCAACACCCATGGCGCGGGGGAGGGGGGCATCCTCCCAGAAAAGGCAGGATCGTGAGAATCTGCAGAGGTGGGATGTCACGGGGCGAGGGGGGGACCAAGGCTTCGGATGCCTTGAAAAATATTGAAAGGAGAGGGTGAGGGGTTCCTGGTAGCTGGCGGCTGGGCCAGCTCCCTGCTGCCTGTCGGTCCCCTCCCTTCCTTCCGTTCCTGGTGGCCTGGGGGCGGAGCCCGGGGACTTGCTCTTCCAGGACGGGAGAAGCACAGACCCTGCGTGCTGCGAGGGACAGCCCACTGGCCAGCAGGCCCCGGGCCCGCGGGCCTCCCCGGCCGCCGCACATCCCGCCGCCCTCGCACTCTGACCCCGCCCGGCGGGCAGAGCGCGGGGTCAGCCAGGTCTCATGACAGAGGGCGGGCTGGCTGAGTCAGCTTCCAGAATGGCACTGGCTTCCCAAGGGGGTGGTCCCGCAGGGCACGGGGTGAGAGCCAAGGTTCCACAACATCCTGTTTCCACACTTGGCTCTGGGCAGCGCGCCGGTGTTTACACAAGCAAAAGCCGAGAGGGACCCGGGCTCAGCAGCTCTCAGCGGGGGCCTCCGCGTGGCCCTGGGGCCCACGCGGGGCAGGGCCGGGGAACGGGCACCTGCAAACCGGCCGCCACCGAGCGCCCACAGCTACGGGGCTGGCTGTGCCCAGCTCCCGCCTCAGGAGCAGGGCCCCGGGGTGAGGGGCAGCCCCGGGCCACTGGAGTGACTGTGTTTGTTTCGCAAACAGCCCTCAGGGAGCAGGAGGCGGACTCGGAAACTCTAGAAGGCGGCAGGGCCGGCCGTGGGTTTGGGGAGAGACCCGGATTGGTGGGGCGGGTTCCCTCCAACTGCAGCCTGATAACAGGGTGACAGGCGAAATGGGTGTCGCAATGCACACTTGCGACACCCACTCTCTAGAGGAAAGCGGCTGTGCGCCTGGGCCCAACCTTTGCCCTGAATGGCACCGGCGGCAGCGGCCCGGCAGCGCGCACGCGAGGAGCGGGCCTGAGCAAAGCTGTCACGGCGAGCCGGGGAGCCGGGGAGCCGTCCCGGCATTAATGTTCCCCTCGTTAACAATATCCTCATTTGCATGATTAATATGTCATAGTCGCTAAACACAGGCAGCGGCGAACAAAATCACTGAAGGAAAATGCCACCTGCTCCGCCAAGGGGATAAGACAAAGAAACGACTTGATCCAGCTAAGCAGGCAGGAGACGCTGTATTGCCCCCAAAACAATGTTCAAAACGCTTGACGTAGCACCATTATTGGGACGATAATGAGGAGAGGGCGCGCATTCCAGACGTTTCCGGGGAAGGATGAGCTCCAGGTATTCGCGACGCTGGCGGGTCGCCGTCCGGCGGTTCCAGAGACCCCAGCCACGGCAGGCTCCTACCGGCTCCCCGGGCTCCCTTCCCCCACCCCTCGCCCAGCCTCCCGAGGGCGGGACGTTCCAGGCCACACGGGTGCCACATCAGCCCGGATCCACGCTGTCCTCTGGCTGCCAGCCTCAGTGATTCCTGGCTGGAAACAGGGGATGGGGATGCGGTGGGGGCGACTGTCACCAAGGGTACAGTGACCACAGGGAACAGAGGGGAACCCCAAACGACCCTGGGAGAGTCTCCAACGCGGGGGCCCTGGCTGGGCGCATCCTTGGGCGCCGTGGAGAACTCGTGTGCGCGTCGTGGATGTGGGCGGCACCGGCGGCCGCGAACACAGCCTGTCCAGGAGAGCCTTCTGCTGTGATGGGACTGGTCTCCATCGACCGTGTCCCTGAAGTGGGGCTGGGTCACCAGGAGCTGGCGCGTCCATTCCCTCGCACCGGCGGGAGTGGAAATCCGAAGAGCCACGTGTGGCTGGCGGTCACGGGCCGCTCGGGGCCTGGAAGGAAATGAGGACTAAGGGATCCCGATGGAAGTGGGGCGATTTGGGTGTCGGGCGGAAGGGACCCGCTGCTTCTACTGGCTCCTATCGACAACTTCGAAGGTGCGATGTTACTGTTGTTGAAAGGCCGGGTCCCAACAGAGGCAAGGACTGTGTCCCCCGACGAGGCTTGCTCTCAGCCTGATGCCACAGCGAAAGGGACGTTACCTCCACCCACGCCTCCAGCTGGCCTTGGGGCCGCATTCCCATGTGCTGTCTGCCTTCTCCGTTGCTACCTATTCCTACCAATAAAAAAAACATAAAAGGCCTAAAGGGGGGGGCGATAAATAAACCAAGAGGCCCAGCTCTGAGACCATTAAAAAATTAATTGCTCACTTTTGACCTGGGTGACAGAAAAGTCCCCGACTCCCTCAAGGTCAGGATCGGTAGGCGCGGACAGGACACCCGGAGAACGCAGAAGACACCTGCTTCCCGTTGTCCTCGCCCGCCCCCGTACCCGGGGTTCCTGCCGCCCAGGCTGAGCCACGGCGCAGGACCCCACGCTCTAGCCTCATAAAAATATAAGAAAATGGTTCCCTGAAAGAACGAGAAATGCCTGGCAAGGTCGAGGAACCTGGGAAATCCTTGAGTAGAGAGCTGGACCCGCAACTGATCTGAGCGCACGGTCTGCCGGGCCTAATCTGCAGCCTCTTGCTTCCCTTGGCGCCAGGTGGGGGGACACACGTAAACGCCCCCCCACCCCCGGGCGGTGACAGTGCAGTAAGATCGAGTCGGCCCAGGCTCCCCCTCGGTGCCGCAACAGACCGAAAACCCTCCCTGAGAGTCTAGAGGAGGCAGGCATGCGCCGCTGTGAGCAGAGAAGACAAAAGCAAGGCTGGCAGAGGACGAATATTATAATTGTGCAATAGTTCTGGAGAACAGACCGGAGCGGGGGCCCCACCCTGCGGATCTGAAAGCAGGCGCGAGCAGGGCCCGGACAGCCAGCCGCCGGGGCGGGGGGTGGGGGGGGTGGGGGCTGGGCTGGGGTTTCCTGCTGCCCTGCGTGGTCACAGAATTAGCCGGCCGCGGCTGCGGCACCCGAGAAGGTCCCCAGGCTTCCCCCAAAATGTGCTCGGCCACCATCCACGCAGACGGCGCAGACTCAGCTCCGTGGGGCCCCCCTCGGCTGACCCAGCCCCCGCTGGCTGGCGAGCCTGGCGCGCGCTCCGCACCCCTTGCCTCTTCAAGGGGTCTCCTGCTGGCGTGGCCTCTCCGTGCCCGGGCCCCCGGTGCCCCCCTGGGGCTCTGGGGCTGAGCCCAGGTCTCTGCTCACACCCAGCACCCAGACAACTCCGAGTTTAACCACGAGGGTTTTCCGCCCGGCTTTTCTTTTCTTTTTCTTTATTATTTTTTTATTGTTCAAATACATTTGCCTCCATTTTCCCGCCCCCACGTTCCCCTGCCCCACCCACCCCGACCTCCCACCCTCAACCCTTCCCCGCTTTGGCTTTGTCCGCAGGTCCTTTAGTCAAGTTCCTTGACT